GAAACTATACCACCTTGAAACCACCTTGATGTCATACGACCCGGTGCAGGAATGCAAAGAAGTACGAGAAGAAGGACATCAAGGAAGCGGAGTCTACCAAGGGAGAGAAACCAAATAAGAGAAAACTTGACAAGGAGAGTGCTGCTACCAGTTCCAAGGGTTCAAAGCGACCCAAAAGGAAGGGTCAGGGTAATGAGTAGGGTGTTGAACTTTCCAGGAAGGATCTTTTTCCCAACCGGTCCACTTGGATTCAGTTTCAATTTGGGGGCGCATGCGGGAATCCTGTGTGATATGCACGGGGTGGAGCCTGTGGCGCTGTGACAACGGAGATTGTCATTGTCAAATTAAAGTGGTGTACATCCCGCTCGCTAGACACCTTTGGCGCTACACTGCAGTTTTCGAAGCCAAATGAAACCATGTTCCCGGAATTCAGTGCTGACAAACCTATATACGCAAGACTGTTTGCGCAGTGCCTGGTGTTGATTTGAACTTCATGACGTCGCTGCCGTATCCGGGGAATGTGGCAGGAAAAAATTGAATGATGCTTGGATGTTACTGGTGTCCACCTCTTGTGTGGGCATCCTGAGTAGTCATCTTGTGTGGTGGCATGAGATGACATCCAACTCCCAGACTTTTCCCCAGTGACCCCACGAAACCTTCCAGCTTGACCCAGCCCTCCGGCATGCCAGGTGCAGGGCAGGCTCTTCGGACACTTGCTGGTGACGTGGGTGAAGGAGTCTTCGCCTTAGGTCACAATCTGTGCAATCTTGAGAGTGGCCACGCACCATTCGTCTTGGTCGCATGTATAAACCGATCCAGGTGTTTCTCAAAATAAGGTTGTGGCCCAAGGGTTTTTTTTGTTATAGGACATTCTTGCGTTCGATCAGACTATAAACATTAAGCTCCTGGGACATCCCAAACAGTTTTGCAAACCGCCTGATGGAATGAGCACTGGCAAACATTCATGCGCGCAAATATGGCGTATACATATTGAACGCATCATGTCACATAACGCCACAGGATGCCGCACTACCCAACCCCTAGCCATGGTTTTGATGAGAACCCGGAAGACGAATTGTGGGATCTGCTAACCTGTCATCGCTCTGATTCTTGGCTGGTTTCAAAGAGGTCTTTTGTCGCACACATGGACTTGAATTATTTTCCGTTCAACCTCTACCATCAAACTGGTTTTAACTGACCATGCCTTTCTTTACAGTAAACCCTGGCGTTCCCCATCACTCAGGAATCTGAGTGGCCATTCCCATATCCAAAGGTCACTGCTGTCACCTGCAAGAAGCGGAAACACGATGGGACTCCAAGACCTTTAGCAACTCCTACACGATCTACAAGCCTTGACCAAATATCACTGCTGCCTCCACATTTGCAAGCTTTGCCTGGCCTGAAGGACATGCTCCATGCCAGGGAATGCATCGGCTTCCGCCTGCCTCCCCTAAAAGCAACTGCCGGAGTGGTGCTCCAACATGCTGTGAGGGTAGTTGAAACGTTGTTTCAGAAACACGACCCCATGATCTTCAAGTTTGGGTACACACACAATCCCATCTTCAGGTGGGAGAACCCTGTTTATGGCTACAGCTTTGCAAGAGACAAGTGGAGTAACATGTACGTAGTCTACATAGCAGATGAAGCATACAGCCCCGCTATGCTGGAAGCAGCTTTGATTGAGAAGTACCAAAGTATCTTATCTGTCAAGCTTGGACTGTTTTCTTGTTTAGTGAGTCATCTTCTCACTGTTCTCATGCATGAGACTTGACTGCAATGTTCGATGGCTGTATGCCTGCGCAGTCCTGCAACAATCTGTCTCTCAATCGATCGATTTTAGCTAAGGTAAACCGGGGTGCCGAAATGTTCGCTCTGGTGGGGACAATGTGGACCTACAGCAATCGGAATGGAATGCGAGCATGGTTTACATAGTGTACAGATCCTTTAAGGTGAAGCCTACTTAGGGGAAGGGCCGCTCCCGTCTCCAATGTCCAATTGGGAAGTGCTTTTCGCACGCACATGTCTTCCATCGTTTAGTAGCTGCACAAGACATGGATTCATATGATAATCATGGTGGTAAATAGAAGTGATGCATGTGCGTGCGTGCGCTCGGACTTCCTTGCAGTCAATCACATTGTGGCTGTAAAATCGATTTGGAACGATTTGGAGAATGCAGTTCAAGCATGTTCAGTGTTGTGTGGTTGCTTATGCTTTTGCCAGAGGAAAGCGGTTTGTGTAAACGTGCTTTTGTTCATGCGTGCCATGTTCTGTTTTGCTGCTTGCTCGCCCAGGCCACATCATGCAGGGCCGCAATCAGAGCGGCCAAGAGCATTGTTGCTGACATCGGTCATGAGGGAGCGAAAAGAAGTCCAGGTCTTTCCGAGTTGTCTCAATGCCACCAATCCGCCTCCGAACGTGGTGTCAGAAAAGTTGTTGTCGATTACAAGTTGGCCCTTCCAGTCAATATGACTTTGCTTCCCAAGACTCCTGGGGTTTTGTACACAGGGGACATCAACGTGATGAGCCTTAAGTCTTGGCTGGAGTTCATCGTTCAGCACGGTGCATGGCATGTCTTAGTGGGGTTGAACCGATCCCATGCAGAACGGGAACAAAAGATCCTCCTGTGTTTTTGGGAGCGGCTTCGAGCACTACGCCCATCGCATGAAATTTTTGCTTTGGCAGACGCTTCAAAGGTGGACCTTTCCTGCACAGTGCCGTTGATGCTGCACGGCGACGAAGGTCGCGGCAGGAAGAAAGCTGGTTTTCTGTGCATATCCTTCTACTCCTACATTGGTTTTGGCACACGTGAAGCCAATGCTGTCAGGAAGGGACGACCTTATCACCAACTTCGTCTCAACTATGGAGGTCATTCATACCTCCATAGGATGCTGACAAGCGTCCTTCCGAAAATGATGAGAGACCACTTGGCGCTGAAGGACATCTTGAGGTTCATTGCCGACGACGCTTGCAACATGCTTCGAGAAGGCGTCAAGGATTCCCAAGGAAACACCTTCAGAGCTTGCGTACTCCAGTGTTGCGGTGACTGGCAGTGGCAAATCAAAGCAGGGCAGCTCAATCGTTCATATCAGAACGTCCCAAAGCAGCCAACAAAAGCTGACGGGAACCCGCCAAAAGGGATCTGCCACATGTGTTGCGCAGGGCAACGCAATGTTCATTGGGAAGGCTACGGTGGCCCCAATCGAACTCCGTCTTGGCTTCCTACGCTCTTTTCCCAGAGTCCTTTTGACGGAGAACCATCCCTCAACCAGATTCCATACATTGCAGGTCAGCAGCCCGCCTTCTATACCTTCGACGTGTTTCATTCCTTTCATTTAGGCGTGGCAAAGTCTTTGGCCGCTGGTTGCCTAGCAATGGCTTCCGACTACATGTGGGCGACGAGTGTTGATTCTCGACTGGAACAGCTGAGTTGCATTTTTGTCACGTGGTGCAACGAGAACCGGGAGCATGCATACTTGAATGCGATAACTCGTCCCGTCCTAGGATGGATGGACAAAGCGACATACCCAAATGGGTACTGGTCGAAAGGCCACACAAGTACAACCCTGATCAAATTCTTCATTGCATGGGCGGAGCAGCAGGATTTGACACAAGATGGTTTGATGCAACTTTCGTTGGACAGTTGTCGAAAGATTGATAAAGCCATGCGGATCATGTACCAGTCTGACATCTTTCTTACTCGGAGCGTTGCGAAGGAGGTCACTGAACTTGGCTTGGGGTTCTTGGAAGGATACAAGTTGATGGCGACCCAGGCATACAGAGCAAGCCGCGCTTTGTTCCCTCACATGCCCAAGGGCCACGCCCTTGAGCACATTTTTTATCAGCTCCGCATGGACTTGGATATTCCGACGGCTCAATACTTTGTCAACCCACTGAACCATTCGGTTCAAGTATCCGAAGATTTTGTGGGCCGCACGTCGCGGCTTGCAAGGAGGACCCATCCGTTGCAAGTTGTTACTCGAGTACTTGAGAGATTTCAGCAAGCGGCCTATAGACAGTGGCATGACCAGGGCTGGATCCAGTGAATGAGATTCAAAAAGATTGTTGGACTGGGTTCCGGGCCGGTTGGACGAGGGGGGGCTGAGTGGTGAGTGGTGCTTTGAGCATGCTTTGTTTGTTGATTGTGGTATGCTTACTTCTTGATGGGAGGTTGCCATTGGGTTGTTGTGAATCTCTGTGGCTGGCACCCTCATCAACACGTTTTCGCAGAATACATGTTAGTTTTGTGCCATGTCAACCGCATGTGAGAATCACTCAAAATGAAGACCCCGGGTTTTCCCCCAGAACCTCGACCTTTCAAGTGGGACCTACGTTTTTATAGGTTTTTGTTTCATTAGGTATACAGTATATACTATATTTAAATTTGCTTATTAATTATATTTGAATCACGAACCACCATGGTTTTATTCTGGATTTTGCACTACAAAACCAGGTCGTTCGCAGTCGAAATGGCTGAAATGAGTCCAACGAACTCCCGGGCTATATGCCAACCCGTCCTGGGTCAAGGCCGTATGTCCTCGAAGTGTTTCCAGGAGTACCTCACACTGCTTTCCGGCCACATAACATAGGACGACGTCGCCACAAACAAGTCGCCCGCAAAAAGAGACAAGGTTTTGGGCTCACGATACTTTTGAAGGAAGTGATTCTGTACTGGGGATAGGAATGCGTTGGTATATGGTACTTTCTGTTGGTGGTGCGAATTTCTTCCACAAGCCAGCAGTCTCGTTCTCATAGGCACATGCGCCTTCTTGCGGTTGGATGCACTTTCGATGCCATTTAGAATCTCTTGCTGATGCCCATCCCCCTTCATCTCCGCATTTTGGACGCATGGAATCGTGGAGGGTCTTTGTGGGTCAACATGAGTTAGTTCGTGTTCCAGTCTAGGAGGCCGGGGATGACACGTTGAAGGACTCGACTTCACCACAGCTGACACCAATGACACATAATATTTGGGGTCGCTCTCACTTGCGAACACATCCTTCTCAGTTCATTAGCCTCATCAAACCTTGTCTCAATGCCCAAAAAAAGCGCGCCGAGGATCGCACATGCTCTAAATCCAAAGAGACCACCTTCATGCCACCGGCGTGAAAGCCCTGCAGGGCGCTCGAGGAGGGCGAAGACAAGGCGGGCGATCGGGGGGGAGGGGGAACATCGCTGTGTGTTATCAGCCGCTTGGAGCTGACGTGTGGGAGCCGGAACCGCCGCTGAAACGAAAAAAGGTCCACTGGACTCGACTGGAAGGCAAGATGCACAGAGCACAGAGGACTAAGACCTCGGGGGCTTGCTGACCTCTGGCAACTTCAGTATCATGCTACCCAAGACAAGATGAGTTGCATGAACCTCGACTCTTCCACAAGCAAGCCTCAGGTCACAGGGTGATTAAACTTGTATTTGCTGTCCCAGAAGCGGACAGAACTCTTCCCCCACAGGACTGGTCCATCCATCAAGGGAACATCCAAATCGGTCAGATCCACACCCGGAGTTCTAGTGACCCCTCCTTTAACAGAGGTGTTCCAGGGTGTTCCGCCGCAGGCGCGGTTGAGTCGTTCTGGAGAGCTTCCAAGCAGGTCAAACCGATCGGTCTGCCACCATTTTTCACCCACAGCCACGTAATTACCCCGTTCTTTGCTTATGGGTTTGTTCCCAATCTCAGCCATCTCCATCTGTTTCGCTCACTTCCAGTCTCTTCACACCTCCGACTACTCTGAGCAGACTCACCCTCCTCCCCACCTCTCCGCGAGGCTGAAAGACCACCCTGCTCTTTCGGCAGCGGGGCAATTTCACCTCAGAAGCCGCAGAAAGGGTGGTCAGCTCACCCGGGGCACGCGATGCGGCGGAGGATTTGCTGCTTCGATCGTCGTTTCGGATGAGATGTTGGCCGTAGTTGGAATGGTGGTGATGTTGGTCAGTATTTGGGTCCCTAAGAAGGGTGATACAAGTCTACCGTCTACCTGACTGCTGATGTGCATGGGCTGGGCTCTTAACAAATATTGAGATCTGAATCAGCGTGGACTCATGATGACTCAAGGTTGCAGTGTCGGAAGGCCTGTTACGAATGTTGCACATGTTTGCATGTGGCATCAATGTGCCAAAGAAATCCAAAGAACATGCGAGAGCATGGGTTCGCGCTCCTTTCCAAAAAACACATCGAACCACTGCCAGCTTGCCTTTCCTGAAACCACAACTTCAGTTTCAGCTTGCTTTTCTTCGCACCCCAAAGCTGTGCCAACCAATTTCAACGGTCAGTGAAAGCGGGACTTGGAAAGCAATCAGGGGGTGGGTCTCTTACGTATCTCGCCGAGTGGACTTCCCCAAAACAAGACTACCACTAACTCGAAGGAGAAAGGGTCTTTTGTGGTGGGAGTCCCCGTACACGGGTATGTTCGGCTAAAAGACCTCTTATTACTCTACGTGGTAAGATGGACCATCTCTGCCCCTCCCGTGTTATCACGCTGCTTCTCTCTCTCTCTCTCTCTCTTTCAACAGATTTCCCAGACATTCACGGGGACTGGCATATGTACCTCCATTAAGGTTGACCTGGCGTCAATGTATGCGGCATAGATCTCATGCATGGCCTGGGCACATTTGCTTTGACCACCATCCCAACTCGTCGAAACAAGAACACACAAACCACAACATCACCCAAACATTCGAGGACTCCATGCGACTGCGGACTGCCGAGAAACGGCCAGGGGTGGTTTGAGGGAGTCGGAGGGTCCATGGGGCGGCAGATATTCCAGTCCCAGCCAGGTCGCGTCCGGGTCACGCAGCTCCTGCTGATCTCGGCTCCCCGGCGTAGCGGATCTCCACTTGACCCACGGCGTCCAAGGTGTCGAGGCCAGAGCCCTACGGGGAATCCGGCGCCGGTGCCAAGGCTGATCCTTTTACACCTCACCTAATTATAGGACGCTGTGGGAAGGTGTATAGATCGAAAATTCAACATCAAAGAGGGATTTCCTTGAGGTATTTTCCACGGTCTTGACGTATATATAACCACCCTTTCGGGGTATAGCCCAATGCAGCTGGATGTTTCTTCATGTTTCTTCAAATGGGACCAAGGGACCCAAAACCACCTCACTCAATCGGCCGGGCGCCCTCTCTGGTCTGACATTGCAGGAGAGAAGTTTCCGACCCCCGAGAGCATCAAAAGCATGAGCACAAAACGACAGGATCAAAGGGGGGGGCGGTGGTGCAACATCAAGCTCCGTTCATCGATCTCCTTTCACTGCCCCAGCCCGTACACCGGGATCCCATGATTTGAGAAGCGCCATTTCACCACCGACATCTCAGCACCCTGTGAGGACCATGAAACAAAACAAAAAACCGTTCCCCCCCAAAAAAGGCCCTGGCTTATCCACCTTCACGCGACTCACGACTCGCGCTTCATCCGCACACTTCCCCCAAAACCCGTCACACGAAACGCCGGTGGTTCCCTTCGTCCGATCGCCCCTCCTCGCGGTCCGCACCTTGGTGAGGCACAGCGCCACTCGTGGTGGCACTCCCACCGTGCCTTCCTGCGGACGAAGAGCGGGACGAGCGGCGGTACAAAGGTGCGGCCGGGGACTTCCTTCCCTGGGATCCGGTACCGAAGCTCAGGTTCGGCACGACTGGACCCGACTGGCACCTACATAACTAACAGTGTCTGCAATCACCTTCTGAGAGGGTTAATGGACACCCCTTAACCTCTAAGGGGCTCTCGGGCTATCAATAGACACCCTTTAGGGTGTCCTGATTAATGATTAGCTGTTGAGAGACCTGGATCTGTCAACTGTGCAAGTTCTTCTGCCCTTCGTTTGCCGAACTGGGCAGGTGTTCTGCTTTTCCCTCTCAGGGCGTGCCTTGAGGTCAAACCTCGCATCGCTAGATGAACTGCGCGGGTGTTAGAGATGAGGCAGAAACCGATCGGATCGACCGGTCGACCGGTCGACACGTGGGCCAAAACGATCTCCAGATTTTGGAGATGCAAGCCGGGTGACTGTTATGTGACCCAGTCTCCCTGTGGAATCCACTGGGTTTTTATCAGATCCACCGAAAGATCCCCCATTTCTTTCGAAGACTCCGTCGACTCCACTTCATTGTTCCAACCAATGTCCCCTTGGGTCCTTCCGAAAAATCCCTGCAAAAAAAAAAATCACCTGCCTCACATCTCCTCCAAACACGTGCCCTAGACGCACCCCTTCAAAACAAACAAGATGGAACCCCCGAACCCGAATGCAAACACGTACTCAAAATCCAACACCCAAACAAGTTAAGACACTCTTGTAGGGGACACTATTGTAGGATGCATTCTTTTCGGACTCACTCTTGTGGGGCACTCTTGCAGGACACTCTTGTGGGACACTCTTGCAGGACACTCTTGTGGGACACTCTTGTGGGACACTCTTGTAGGACACTCTTGTAGGACACTCTTGTCGGGCATTCTTGTGGGGCACTCTTGCGGGACACTCTTGTGGGACGCTCTTGTATGACACTCACTCTTGTGGGACACTCTTGCGGCACACTCGTGTAGGACACTCTTGTAGGACACTCTTGTGCGTCTCTCTTGTAGGAAGCTCTTGTAGGACACTCTTGTCGGACACTCTTGTGGAACACTTTCGTGGGACACTCTTGTACGACACTCTTGCGGGACACTCTTGTAGAACACTCTTGTGGGGCACTCTTGTGGAACTCTCTTGTAGGACACTCTTGTGGGACACTCTTGTAGGACACTCTTGTCGGACATTCTTGTGGGACACTCTTGCAGGGCACTCTTGTGGGATACTTGTCTTGTATGTCACTCTTGTTGGACACTCTTGCAAAACACTCTTGCATGTCACCCTTGTGGGACACTCTTGTCGGACACTTGTTGTTTGTGTGGTGGTTGTTTTTGTGGTTGCCACCTGCCTGCCCCTCTCGGATTGGTGCTTTTGGTGTGGTGGCTCCTTTGCTGTCTGGCTTTGGCGCGGCCGCGACTTTCCTACCGCTTCCGTGTGGTGACTACTTGCCTGCCTAATCTTTCCAGTCTGGCCACTACTTTCCTGCAATGTTTTTCGTGTAGCGGCTAAGTTGTTGCTGTTTCAGTTTGAGGACTACTTGCTGCCCTGGTGCTTCAATGTGGCGACAAATGTCCTACAAAGTTTTTCGCACGCTAGCCATTTTCCTGCAATTTTCGTTGCGGTGGTAACTTTCCTGCATGGTTTTGTTGTAGTGCCTACTTTCCTGCTTGGTTTGTCCATATGGCAGCTACTTTCCCACAGCCGGTTCGTTTGGAGTGTTCGCTCCAAGCTTTACGGAGATCAATGCCGGCAGAAGCAGACTGTCTATGGCAGAGATGACTGTGGATCTACTGACTACCTCGACAGTTCTACCGCATTTCCCCTTTGCTTTTTCTTGGTTCATTCTCATTTCTGGCTGCTTCCTTTCCCTTTCCTTTTTGCTTCCACTTGCTTGTTTGATTTCCTTTTGGTTCCTTTTGTTTTCTTTTCCTTTTTGTTCCTGCACGGTCCTTGTCACGTCCTGTCACTTTTCCTTTGCCTGGATTCCTTTGCATTTCCTTTGCACTCCATTTTATTATCCTTCATGTCTTTCCTGCCCTCTCTGATGCCGGCAAGTAAGACAAAGCCAGTGCTTATGCAGCGCATCCTGCTTCTTCAGCAGGCGTCTTTGTCTTGCTCACTCCTTCTTCTCACCTCGGCCCTGGAGTAAGATCAGACAAGGCAGCGCTTGTGCAGCGCACCCTGCTTCTTCAGCAAGCGCCTTATCTCGATCATCTTCCCGGCATTATTGACACCCAGTCTTCCCGTCCCAGCGCCAAGCCACTCGCCCATTTCCACTCAAGGACGAGTCGTGGATGCCACACGAACACCACGATGCGTGTCCAGACATGTCTCCGCGCGTCTTCCTCGACGACGGTGCCGAACCTTGTCTTGAAGATGCGGCCAGCCTTCTCGGTCCTGCCATTCTGCCAGGGTGCTCTGGCATCTATGAAGTGGATTGGAACTCCTTGCTGGCCAAGGCCGTCAGTGAAGGGGGAGCCCACAAACTCTCGCCCTTGGTCGGCGATCACCAGGACTGGTGGCCCATAGTGAGAAACCCAGGCCTGCATGAAGGCGACATGTAGCCGACTGTTTGTCATGAACCGGCTCAGTCAGTGCCCCCAATCCACGACATTCAACAGGACGTAGTCCCCAACTTCAGGAACCGAGAGCTGGATGAGGTCAACACCAACCACCTCGTTGAAGTTCATGGCCCGTTGAAGGTGGGTGCCCAAAAGACCCACTTACTGGATGGTGCCCCAAACCACCACCCCGTGATCCTTTTGAGCTACTGGAGATGTACCCCCCCGTCCATGTTTGCAAGGTCCAGACGCGAGACACTCTTGTAAATCTTGCAGGCCTGTCTTGTGGGACACGGAACACTCCTGTAGGACACTCTTGTGGGACACCCTTGTAGGAAACTCTTGTAGGACACTCTTGTCAAACACTCTTGTGGAACACTATTGCAGGACACTCTTGCGGGACTTGTAGGTCAGTCTTGTTGGGCACTCTTGCGGGACACTCTTGTGGAAAACTCTTGTCGGACACTCTTGTAGGCCGCATTCTTGTGGGACATCCTTGCAGGACACTCTTGCGGGACTTGTAGGTCAGTCTTGCTGGGACACTCTTGCAGGACACTCTTGTGGGACACTCTTGTAAGACACTGTTGTCGGGCACTCTTGTGGGACATTCTTGTCGGACATTCTTGTGGGACACTCTTGTGGGACACTCTTGTAGGACACTCTTGTAGGAAACTTGTAGGTCTCTTGTCGGACTCTTATGGAACAGTCTTGTGGGACACTCTTGCAGAACACTCTTGAAAGACACTCTTGTGGGCCACTCTTTTGGGAAGCTCTTGTATGGCACTCTTGTGGAACACTCTTACGGAACACTCTTGTGGGACTTTCTTGTAGGACAGTCTTGTGGGACACTCTTGTGGCGCACTCTTGTAGGACACTCTTGTGAGACACTCTTGTGGGACGCTGTTGGGACACTCTTGTTTGTCACTCTTGTGGGGCACTACTACAAAATTACTAAAGTCACACGTCAAGTCTGCAAAACAAGCGTTTCGTACGAGACTGCTTCCAAAATTCACTCGTCAAGTCTCCAAAACGAGCGTTTCGCACGAGACGTCGTCCTCCAAAAGTCACACGTCAAGTTCTCCAAAACACGCGTTTCGCACGAGACATCCTCCAAAAGTCACGCGTCAAGTCTCCAAAACGAGGGCTTCGTACGAGACTTCCTCCAAAAGTCACATGTCACGTGATGTCAAAGTCTCCAAAACGAGCATTTCGCACGAGACTGTCTTCCTCCAAAAGTCAAGCGGGAAGCCCCATCGGAATACACATCAAGCAGCCTTGCCAAGCAGTTTCGCAACTCCAGCCCCACCCGCTCACACGCCAATTGCACTTCCACACCTCAAGCCCCGCACAATTAAAGCGCTGCGCCTGCCAGGAAAAGTGACAAAATCACATCACGCTAGCTGCAGCAAAATTTGCGCCACACCACGCGTTCGGAATGATTTCGACACGTTCTGAGCACGGAGACACGTGGGAGACAATCAAGAGAAGAGAGTGCATCCGGCCAAGGCGATGAGTATCTAACCAAGAGACATCTTTGGCCAAGAGTATCCAGGCAAGGGTAGAAATGTAGACACGTGTAAAAACATACAGTAGGCAAAGGAAACATCAGATAAGGAACACAAGCTCAAAGAACATCATCATGCAGGCTGTTAAACAGAGAATAGGAGCCTCACACAAGTAAATCTGTTTGAGCAACAGGATTACGCGCCCTCGGAGAAGTATTGGATAGGAGGCGAATCCCGTTTGGCTGTCAATAGGCTCTGCGCCTCTCAATCGATGGCAGGCAGCGCCTGAAGGTCTTTATCTTATTCCTCACTTTTATCCCCTTTTCTTCGAGCAGCTTCTTCATGTCTGCTGCCTTCTCAACCCCCTCCGGTTGATAGAACACGGGCGATTCAAGCCACCTAAAAGCACCACATCAGCGCGGTTGCCCAGCCAGTGGTCAGAGTGCAAGGCAGCCAAGTTGGATGCTCCCAAATCAAAGTGGCAATTACAGCCCGGCTGCAGAAGGAGCATTCGAAACTGTAGACATTCGTGGGGGAGAGAGCCCCTTTGACAACCTTCGGTCTTCCCCGAAGCGTTTGCCTGTTGCGAAGGCGTCGCCCACACCATCCAATATTACTCTTGCATGTCTGCTTCTGTCAAAATCAACCAGATCCATCTGCTCACTATCCTCCACAGTAACTTCCAAAAAGTCTGGCAGGCGCAGGTTTTCAGCAATGCAACGCAATATGTCCACAGCCAGCATAGACTTGCCCAATCTGGTGCCCCCCCGCAATTGCCAGAATCGGTCTCCTAAGACATGGTCTTCCATCATGGCAAGCAATAAACTCTTCCACCACAGGGTAGTTCTTCATGGGCAACGTGGCGGCTTTCAGCACTGCACTCGAAGCCTCAACAGCTTGTTGGACACATAGATCATGCTCGAATCTCTCTGCGGCACCCACCAAAGTCGACTTGAGCTGGGACTTAGTCACGAAAACGCCCTGAAACGCAACAGCCACATCCAACACCCCAGAAACACCATCCAAACGCCAATCCCAATTCGACTGCGCAGAAAACTCACCATCTCACAAAACGCTGCGCCTGCACAGTGATTTCATCTTCCACACTTCATCCTCTCACGTTTCCGGACGTTTCCTCACTATTTCACACGAATCTGACACGTCATGCTTCCATCCAAAACCCTCTCCGAACGCGAACAAGGCTCTACCACCAAACCCCGAACCCTTCGCTACGCCTTCGGGAACCAGACCACTGAATATCCAAACCCCAAAACTCGAGACAATCCAACCCATGACTACATCAAAGACCAGTCAATTCCATCTGGCCGGTTTCCGGTTTCCGGCGGTCTCGTCACCTTTCACCGATCGATCGGTGCGCAAGCGTCACTCGCCCGAATCCTCGGCCGTGAACTCGGCCACCTCAGGGAGAGACGGGGGCCGATTCGTGGACGTGGGGTTGGATGTCTTTGGTAGAACGTGGTGGAACGTGGTTTCCCGCATGGAATGCTGCTGGTTTTGGGGTTATAGGATGTTATAGGCATCTGTTCGGCCTTGTTTGTGCTTGATCTTGGGCCTTGGGCGGCTGTTGTTGTTTTTTTTTTGAGGGGTCCAGCGAGGGGATGAGATGTCTTGTAGGCTGAGAACTATGCTGAGATGCTTATCGTCTTCTAAGAACCGAGCGGCTCTTCTTGATTCTTCGGTATACCATTTCTTGCCAGAAAGGAGTCACGCGCTGGGATGCGACCCGATGACCGAAAGGGTGAACCTTGGGATGGCGGGAGGGTGGTCGACCATGGCTTTAGTCTTTAAAACCGTTGCCTACCAGCTATAGTATGCTATAGTGGTCACTGGATGCCCTGGGATAAGACAGCCCAACAAGCAAGCGTTTCATCAAGTTTCATCTGTCGGCTTGGCTCGTCCCATCCAGGGGACTGTGGATGCGGAGGGCATACTTCCCAACTGGTTGGGGCACCCCACTCCCATCGCTGGAAGCCCTATACAACTCAAACCCCCAAATCTCATCCTCCTCGAAGAGGAACCCGAGCCTAAACCCTAAACCCTAAACCCTTCCACTGGCCCTCAAAACCCGGTCGCCTTGGCGCTCCAGTCGTCACTTCGTTTCGTTTGGACCGGGACGACCGGGTGCGACCGGTCGGGTCCAGTCAGACCGGAACTACCCGGTTGGACTGGAGGTACTCGGCCAAACGGGGCCAGTCAGGCTCGAACAAGTGACCGCACCATGTGAGGAAACACCACGGGTCTACCAGTCGACTTCATACCCCCAGACCTACTTACAGACCTAACTGTAAGTCGATCTGGACCGATCCTCTGCCGTTGAATTGAAGTTTCCATGGCGTCTTTTCCATGCAACGAATGGGGAGGTGAACACCCCCAGCAGCAACACCCCCAGCAGTTCAAACCAACCAGTGAAACAAACACATATTGACATAAGCTGATCATCTCGCCATCGGTGGCGGGTCGTTCGACCGATCTGACCAGACCGGCGGCTCCAGCGTGCGTCGATCCACCTGCCAGGTCGAACGACAGTCGAGCTGGCTCCAAGTGCAATACGAGTATCCCTAGGCTTCCAACAACCATTAATTAAATAGGTTTTAGCGAATCAACTAAGGATTTTACACTACAAAAACCAGGTCAACCATTGTCTTAATGGTCTTGGAAGTCTAGGGGTATATATGCCCAAGAGTATGTATCCCCAAGAGTAGTAGCTCAATTGGTAGTGTCACACAGTGTACCCCCCGACTTGGTGGCGAAAAAAGAGCATGTATCCCCAAGACAGTTGAGATTGTGCTCGAGTCTTCCAACTTTAGCTGTGGCCCTGGATCTTGGACAACGCACAGAAAACTATGAAAAATGAGTCTTGCCGAGACTCACCCCCAACAAATTCCTCACCTTCACTAACCTCACTCTGAGCCGTTTTTTCACCAACGGTCTGCCAAACTCTTGCTCTTTGTTGGTCATGCTGTGACGAAAAAAAAACATACTGATCACCAACATCTTCCAAGTAGCCGTCCTTGAGGATACTCCCCTGAAGAACGAGTGTAGCGACTGCTATTAACAAGAACAAAGCATGAGCATGCATGAGCTATGTCATGCAAAGCATATTTCAATGAAGTGGGCATTGACTGACAAGAAATGGCATTGACTGAAGGTTCATGCCGCTGTTCGGACAAACTGTGACAAACGTGATGATCGTTGGTAACAAAGACAGATTCTGATCCGAGTTCCAAGGCTCTCTTGGAAAAAGGCTTGCCCTGTCAACAGGACGAACAACGAAACGGACGAAACGGAGCTCAAGCATGTTGTCCTACAAGTAGTTTGGGCTCTGACATGGGAACCCAACATCCTTGGTGGGGGCGATCCTGCGACCAGCTGCATGGCTGTGCCCGCCTGCTCCTCGAGTGCTCAAGGAGACAGCCTGGGCACTGGGCAGCCAACGAACAGTTCAACACCGACTCAATGCGAGGTCTCTGATCCAGCACTTTCGTTTTGACCCTTTTTACCCCACCTGGTAGTCAGTCATAGTATGTCACAATCCACCACTACCATAAAGGGACAAAATGCGACATGACTGGACTTCCAGGGTGAGATGGAGAGGTCTCACTG